TGGGATTGGAACGCGTTCCCATCTAGCGAAATGACGGTGCGTGCGAGCGGCCCCGCCTCCGACGGCGTGGAGGCGGGAAGACTACGCGGGCAGCGCAGGGGTGGGAACGACACACCCTCGGATGTGCACGGCGAAGACGGAGCTTGCGCCGCGCCGGATCAGTGTTGCCGGTTTCACACACGCGCACACAATCACACACACACGCATGCACACACCCACACGCAGCTTACGCGGCGCTTCGGCCAGAGCGCATTTCGCCTTTTCTTGCGCGGCCCCGCGGCCGCTGCCGTTTTCATGCGGCTTGGCGAACGAAGCATGCGCCGCGCCCGCGCGGGAGCCCCACTTCCATGCGATACGCGCACGGAAGTTAGGCAAGGGCGACAAGTCGCACGCTCGCGCCAGCTCCAGAACTCCACAGGTGAAGAAGATGCGCCGCGCCGAGGCGGGAACGCCACCTTCAGGCAACATCTACGCGGCGCAAAGGCGAGAGCGACATGTTCTCCCGCTCGCGGGTCAGCGACTTGGCGTGTGAAAAGTGCACGGCGCCCACGAGGAAACTCAATTCTCTGGAAAAGAGATCGCGACGCCGACGCGAGAGCGTCATTCCATTTTTTCGCGCGGAGTGTGCGCCCCGTCCATTATTGTCGTGTCGTTTGGCACGTGGGTGGCAGAGCGTTTTGACTGCAATAGTTTGGACGTTGTGTTTGTTTGAACATGTCGCGTGACACGTCCCAGGTTGGTGGGCTTTCGGCCGTGCAGGTGGCAGTGTCGGAGCATATGCCAATAAAAAATCCGGGGTGATGGGGGAGTGAGGATGTGGAGGATGGGGGGCGAACGTGGAGGTGGATGAGGAGAGAAGAAGAGGAGCAATACTTGGAAAACGGAGCAGGCGAATACGGTAGATGAGGACGAGCAGTGGGGAGGTGACGGTGGGTTCGGAGTTGGAACAGCCAGGAAAGGCGAGAAGAAGGAGGATGACACCACGAATGGTAATGATGGAGCTGGCAGGGGGACGGGGGCAGGAGGTAGGGACCGAGGTTGACTGCGCCTCCGCTTGCTTATCCAGTTCCCTCTGCTGTTGCTCGTCCCCCGTGTCGACCGCGGCACGTCCCCATCGGGCCGCCGTGCAGATTGAACAGTCTTCTTGTGGCCGACAAGCGTTCGCTTGCCAGTGCCTCGGGGTCATGCCCAACCTTATTCATGCCTTGTGTGCTCTTTAAGGTTGTTCCTCAGTCAGTGTTGTCGGCGAGCCCGCTGATGTGAGTCGTACAGTTGATCCCTGGGGCCTCTGTCTCTCAGACCCGCGAGGCGCTCTGCAATGTCCCCACAGCGCTGGCGGCGGCATCCGTCATAGCAGGAGTGCATCCGTAATGGTTGTCTCCAGTGGGTCGCACCAGATAGCTGTTTAGCTTCCATGTGTTCCCCCAGACGCTGCGTGCTGGACAGATGGCTTTTGGCGGCCACCTAATATATTGTAGATCATGTTTTTAATGTAGAGTTTTTCACTCTTCGCTCTCTCTGCGCTTCCTTCCATCCTCTCGTGCTGCCGCCCCTCTTCCCTGTTCCTTGTCCGTTTGCCGTAACCTTCTCCTGGTGGTTGCGCCCGTGGTGCCGTCAGAGGCGACGCGCGCGCCCCAGCTCCTGCGGAGGTGGCTTTGATAGCGGTTCCACGCGTCGGTCCTCTCAGGAACGGTCATGCCGAAGCCTCGTGAGGCCACCTTGAGCGCACCTGGGGGGGGCATTTGGGCCTCGAGGGGCAACCTTGGGGCTTCTTGTTGGCAATCTTGGGCACGGCCTGGGGCCTCAGAGGCTTGTCTTGAGACTATGTGTGTGGGGGGGGCATTTGGGAGTAAAACAAGTAAGAGGCAAAGCCCATGTGTGCATACATGTGTATATGTGTACATCTATATGTGTATATGTATAGATTGGGGATCCTCCCCGATGTTGTGGGTCTCTTGTGAGGTTGTCGGGACCCTCTTCGCAGTCATTGTGGCGTCTTGGGTAATCTTGCTCGTAGGCATTCCTTCTCCTGGCTGCGACCTGCAGGGTTTAGGAGGCTGCCAGGCAGCTTGGGGTTCTTACGGGTAACATCTGGATCCACAGGATACCAGGGCGCGACTTGTGCCCCTGAAATCGTCTTCGAACGATATATGGTCCGTGGCAAAGGCCGCATCAGTTTCACAGGCGCTTGCAGGGAGACAGACCAGAAGCTAGGACTGTGGGCTTGAGTTGAGCACGGCTCGCACAAGTTTTTCCTCGCAGTGTGAAGCAGGCAGCTCTCCTTCATCTCAGACTTGTGGCAGCGGTAACTGTTTCTGAGGCGTCAAGACGGCGCTTTTCTCTAGATGTGCGCAGAGGCTCGTTGTCGACGGGAGTTGGCACAGGTATCTTTCGAGGCTCCTCTTCTTTTTGACATATCTATTTGTTTCGTGCCCATTTTAACCTGATCGGGCGCCAAGCGTACCTTGAGAAATCTCGAGATCACATACTGGGGTCGCGAAGAGAGGATCCAATAAAAAAAGCGTTCCATCAAAGTTTTTCGTCGGTCTCGGTCCCCTGGTTTGTCGACGCTTCGGCTCTGGGCAAGGTGCGTCGGGAATCGTAGCCAGAAGCTGGAGAGCGCGTAGGAGAGCAGCGCGAAAGTGACCGTAGGTCGTGGCTTTACGCAGGACTGCGCAGGAGCGCGGTGCGATATTATCACTCCCTCGCGTCGATCCGAGTGCCCCGAGTGCCTGGGTCTGTTCAGCAGGCAGGGGTCAGGGAAGTGGGGGCCCTCCTCATCCTTCGCTTCCTGCGCCCCTCGCGCCGGGGCAGAGACGCCGAACACACATCATCCTCCAGTCCCCAGTCTTCCCCCTTTGAATGGCAATGCAGGTGTTCCCCTTCACTGCGGCAGGCGCCGGAAGGAACATATTGAGAGCGTCCGATCGGCTACCGCGGGTTTGGGGCCACGGGGGTGGAGGAACGGGTGCCGCTCTCGTGGCCCCGCCAGAGGATCCGGGGGGGGGGGAGCTGCATCAAGGGAGGAGAGGCCACCCCGACGCCGACAATTGGCGTTTGCTAAACGGACCTGGGCGTTGTCTACACAGCCCTGCCATGTTCGATTCCTTTAGCGTTAGCACCATTCTGAACACGGTCCGCCCGACATCCATCCACTTCTCCTCAGTACCTACAGCAGGGCAGTGTTACGTGAGGAAGTGCCAAGCGACACGTTGGGCGGCGGCTCACGAGAGAGACCTCTTTCAAAGTGGAGACGACCTTCATCCGTTGAGGTGTTGAAAGGGTCTAGGTCTACGATCGTGACTCTTTAGCGGCGGACCACAAGGAACAGTCAGACTCTGAGTGCCATCCGCCATCAGTTCGCGCAATTATGCATTACGGCTGGTTCCGCCGGCCCTGAGACAGTGATCAGCAAAGACGGAAGAGGTGTAAGGAAAGCGGTGGAAGCGCTCAAAGGAAAGGTTCTTCCTTTCCACTCGATGAAGTGATTGCTCTATTTCCTTTGGGTGGGGTAGCGCGCGGGCTCCATATACGGGCATGCGGCCCATCCCGGCACCGTGCAGCCGTCGTGGACAAGGCCTTCCAGAATCCTTGTTGTGGCTCGAATTGTCGAATGGTCAGCCTCTTGGGAATGTTTTGGAGGCCTCCGAACGGTTCCATACATGGCCTTGGGCTCTTGGAGGCCTCTTGGAGGCCTCTTGGTGGTGGTTTGGATGCCTCGGAGAAGTCTTGGGTCCATCTCGGAGGGGAGCCTCGCATTGGTCTCGCGCGCATGTGTGGGTATTTTGTGAGCTGTCCATTCGTGTAGTTATTCGGTCTATCACGCTTCAGGCTCATACTTCGTTGAAGACTCCTAGGGCGACGGCCAGATTTCGTGAACGCCCTGCCCTTCGTTAGTGTGAATGCTGGAAGTGTGAAGTTCTGAATACAAACGTTGAGAGCTAGATTTGGAAAACGGCCAGCCCTCCATTTGTGTAGCTGGCTGGTCGCAATGTGGGGCTCTCGGGTCAAGCGCTGTAAGAGATCCCAAGCGAAAACACGACTTCGAACGCTGCGAGCCATCCATCCGCTTGTCATCCAGGAAAGACGCCGTAGACGGGCGAACGGTGTTCTCAACAGCGGCGTAGTCGTGTTTGGTACTATTGTAGGTGGGATCGGTTTCTGGATCAACTGCATGCCAGAACGTGTGGGTCGCGCCTTCTTGCTATTCGTTGCGTCCTGCTCGCCCGATGCACTGGCATGTGGGAAATGCAGGGAGGCTTGGCTCACCGAGCGCATTCCACTACTCGCAAAGTACCGACTCGCAAACGTCCGACAAAAACACATGTCTGCTTCGATGTAATGTATCGTAGATCCCCCGCGGCGGATCCAGGCCATTTGCGAGTAGTTACTTTGCGAGTAGTGGAGCGCGCTCGTCTAGTGGCTCGAGCTCTCCTGCACTTCTCCTGCGCGCGCCGAGCGTCGCAGACCGCAATCCACGTCGCACCGTGGGCCGACCGGGCCGCCACCCCGGCCTTGGAGCAAGCTGCCCGAATGTCTCGGGCGCAGCGCCCAGGCCCGCCCGGTGCCGACAGGCCTGCTGGTGCGACGGGGAGCACAGACGAGCGGGAGGGGGCGGAGGAGGACAGAGGCGGGGGAGCAGGGTGCGGACCGTGACTCGGAGCAGGAAGGACGCCTTAAGCATAAGCTTTTAGCGCTCCGCGCAGATTTCTTGGATCCGCGCTGGGCCTCCCCGGCGGCGCCTTAGGCGCCGCCCCTGGCGCGCTCCGCGCGCCAGGGAGGGGGGCCAGCGCAGATCCAAGAAATCCGCGCGGATCTCCTAAAGTGTATGTTTAAGTCGTTTTGTGTTCTTCCAATGACGAGGACCATGATGGGAAAATTAATGTTAAGTCTGGCCTGTCCCTCGACAGGAGAAATATTCAAAAACAGTCTAAAATTACATGGGGACGATTTTCCGATTTTTGTTTTGACATTTTGGTGTATGTTTGACTATTCTTTATTTGTCCTCCAAAATCTGCCTGTAGGGGGACGTGCCCGACCTAGTTAATGAGACGAGAGCGGCAGCATGCGAAAAAGGCGTGGGAGGGAGGCCAGGGCCCCAGGGCAGGGCTCGTTTCGATTCCCCCGACTCGATTCGATTCGATGTCGATGGATTCCGCTGCCGATTCGACTCGACTTCGGATTCCGATTGGGGCTCCGATTCCTGACTGTCAGGCGATCGCAAACATGGATCAAGGGGGCGTGGATTAGCGACGGGTCCCGTTTGGATGGGGGACCACGGGGTTTCCGCCGCCGAGCGAGGCGGCACCAGCTGCATTTTGGGGAGGGCCTCCCCCCCCCCCCCGATCCATGGATTTGGCGACCGCGAGCCAAATCCATGGATCGCTAATCCATGCTTGCGCGCCCCCGATACTGGAGGCCTACTAGCTTGCCGATTTCCGCCGATTCGATTTTTCCCGACTCGGCTGCCGATGTCCGCCGACCCGACTCATTTCGATCGCCGATCCGATTCATCGATTCGATTCAGGGCGGGGATGGACTCGCCCGCGGCATTGCCGCGGGCTGCAGCAGTGTCCCCCTTTCTGGGGTGGAGGCCGCGTGGCGGTCTGCATCCAACATGCTCTCCGATAGAGACACAGCGCCGCGCAAAGGAGCTGCCCTCCAAGCGTGCGTCTCGTGGCCCTTTTGAGCTTACGCAGGTATAGTGCAGTGGGCGCGCATAGCTGGAATTGAACGTCAGGCATCGGAGCACACGCGCACACACATTTAGCATGTACAGAAATGTGTGGTTCTTACTGAGTCTAGCACTTCCTTGCCCTGTCGTGGGATGTGCGCGCGGCCCTCCCCGCGGCCGCTCAGCCGGGAGGAGAACCTGCTCCGCATGCAGCAGGTGCCCTCTGCGTACTGGATAGACGTGAAGGCCAAGGTCGGGAAGCCACGTCGTCGACGAACACTGTATTAGCATGATTCCACCTTGACCGATGCCCACCAATGACCGCTAGTGTATCAAGATGTGTGCATTCTGGGTGAATGCCACTGACGTCTGTGCTGAATGTGCGCTATTGAGTTATGGCCGTCGTGTCTGTTGTTGGTGTCTGCCCTTTACCACCGCTGTTTCTGGTGTCAAATACTCATGTGCGTTTTCGGTGTATTCCTGATTGTTAAAAAAGGGTGTTGTACTGTTGATGGATATCAGGCGGTGGTGTTTGTTTCTGGCGGTTGCTCATGGCGTCTATGTGTAATGCATGGTTTTGGTGTTTGCTCATGGCGCCTATTCGTAATGCACGAAATGCGTGTATGGTGCCGAGGCTGAGTCTTGATCTATGTCAGCGGTGCCTGTTCTTGACGTGCATGATTCATTTCTGTGTTGGGTGCATGTTTGTTCATGCCGGTTCTGTGTGTGTGATGTTGTTGTTTTGTACATTCGTGGTGAATGTTTTAGGGATGAGTGTTAATGCAGTTCTGGGCGGTCGATGTTGTTGTATGTTGTGGGCTCATGCTACTGCTGGCTGTTCTGGAAGTTTGTCATTGTTGACTGTTTATGGCTTTTGTTCCTTCTGCCTGCTGTGTAGTATCATTAGTAGTAGTAGTAGTAGTAGTAGTAGTCGTCGTAGTAGTCGTAGTAGTCGTAGTAGTCGTAGTAGCCGTCGTCCCGCTAGTAGTTGCAGTAGGTGTCGTCGTCTCTCTCACTGGTTGGTGGGACACCCTAACTCTGGAGTAGACCCACTAAAAGAAATGGCTACTCAACATATGGAAACATATGCGGTGCCGCGTGTTAGTTTACCGCATCAAGCGGCAGCGTTGAAAAATGATCAGTAGCAGCCCCAGCGGCACACCCGTGAAGAAGGTGCCCGTGAAAAACGGCGCTGGGTGGAAAACGCGGTGCCCCCCCGCCCCCGCTGGGAAAACTCCCCGGAACGACAATCAACAGAAACCCGCAACGGCCTAAGCGCCGCAGTGGCCGGCACCCACGGAGCCCGTCCAACAACCACGCAGAGAGAGGACTTTTACGATGTTTCCACTCGTCACCGAGTCGTTGCCTCAATCCGCAGTGGTGCCGTAGGGGTGATCCTAGGGGCGACCGCCGCGACCCGTCGACCTTTGCGGTCCCTGCCGATGGCCACTCCGAAGAGCCTGGCAGCGGCAGCGGGTGGCGGTGCGAAGTCATGCCTCTGCCGTCGCGTCGACTGGCACTCTTGTGATGCCGCTTTGTAAAGCCGCTCATTGGCGACAGGTCACTCTTACAGGTCATCAGAAGACGACGCATGGTGCCACGTAGTGCCTACTAGGTTTGCCTCGGCCGCGGGAACGGCCGGGTGTCGTCGTCTCAGTGTACGGTGTTGGTGTATGTGGGTGATGTGCTTTGGTGGTGCTCGTTTTTATCGTGTATGAAGTTGATGTCCGTTTTTGAGTCTTGGCTAGTAGTTGCAGTAGGTATTGTCGTCTTAGTGTACGGTGTTGGTGTATGTGGGTGATGTGCGTTGGTGGTGCTCCGTTTTT